CCCCCACAGCTCAACATAACAACATGGCTTTACTTCCTATATTTCATCTTCATACTTTTCTACTGGATGGTTAAGACCAAGGTAAAGCAGGACCTGTTGTGCTGAAGATTTTAAATTGCATATGATAACATTTTTTAATTTTTGCTGTTATTTATTTATTTATTTATTTATTTTTGGCAATTTGAATTCTGTTTAGAAAGTCTTTGCCTACACCTGTGATTTCAAGAGTTTTACCTATTTTTTTGTACTAGAGTCATTGTTTTGATTTGAAACATTGTTTCATGTTTAAATCTTTGATCTTGTTTTATTTTAGTTTAGGACGTGGTGAGAGATATGTGTCCCACTTCAGTCTTCCGCATGTAGCAACATTTGTTGAATAGGCTGTCTTTCCATCAAATTATGCTCTTGGCCTCTTTGTCAAAGATTAAATAGCTAATTGTGTGTGAGGATGTGTGTTTATTCGGTTCCATTCATTTGTGTGTCTGTTTTTGTGCCAGAACTATGCCACTTTCTGTCACTGTTGCTTTTTAGTATAACTATTTTATGTGTTTGGTACAGGGTCTCACTATGCAGCTCGGACTCATGGTGCTCCTCCTGCTTTACACTTCTCCAGTGCTAGAATTGCAGGTATGCGTCCCTTTGCCAAGACTCTTTTTAGTATAATGTTAAGACAGGTCTTGTGATACCTCTTGTTTTGCTTGTGTTGCCCAGGATTGCTTTTTCTCTATTCTGGTTCCACATGAATTTTAGAATTGTTTTATGTACTTCTGTGAGGAATAATATTGGCATTTTGATTGGAATTGCATTGAATCTATATACCATTTTTACCCGAAAATAGAGCTAACAGCCTTGGAAACTAGAGATAAAAAATATTCGTCCCTATCAACCTATCCTTGCTTTATTTTCCATTACAGAGTAGCCACTAAGAAGAGAATAGTGAGGTATAATCTCTGTATGCAACTGGCCTTCCCATGATAATGAGAATCTAGGACTTACCTGGTTAGGTCTTATTTTGGAGAAACATTGTATCAGTTGGAGAAATATGGTCATTTTGACAATATTGGTGTTGCATATTCAGGAACAGGGAACATATTTACATTTTTCTGATGTCCCCATCAATCTCCTTTAGCAGAATACTGTAGTTTTTATCGTAGATATTTTTCACTTCCTTGATTAGATTAACTCCTAGATATTTATTTTTTTGTGTTGATATTGTAAATGTATTGTTTTTTCTGATTTCTTAATGAGTTCATTATTGTTATACACAAATGCTATTAATGTTTGAGTGTATGTTATGTGTTCTGAGCTTTTGATGGAATTCTTTGGTTTTTTTTTTACAGTGGATCATGTGATCTACATACTAATGATTTCACTTCTTTCTTTCCTATTTGTATCCCTTTTATTTCTGTCTCTTGTCTGATTGCTGTATTTAATATTTCAAGGACTATTTTGAACAGAAGTGGTGATAATGGGTATGCCAGTCAATGCTTACTAGAGAAACAGATTTAATGCAAGATATACCAATGGATAAGGATTTCCAAAATAGGCTTATAATGGCTGGTCAGAGTCAGGTGATAAAGAATGAAAAAGGGTTATCAGGGTGTAGGAAATCCAAAGAATTGAGTTGAAGGCCTGGAGCTCGGTGTAGTAGGCCATACAAGTCTGTATCAAGAGGCTGAAAGGTCTGTGCTGTAGGCTCAAGAGTCTATACTAGAAGCCAGAAGATAGTGTTCATGGTAAAGGTGAAGACTGGAGCTTCTCTGAAAACCACAAATGCGTTTTTCCTTTTCATTTCCATTTTATCCTGTTAGGCAACAAGCCTAATGGTAGGTGCCACTCACACCCAGGTTGACTGTGCTGTTTTCAATAAATCCCTTAACCCACACCCAGAAATATGCAGATCCAGTTTATTTTGGTATTTCTTGCTCAAGTTGACACCATTAACTACCACAGTCCTTCTCTTGTTCCTGATTTTAGAGTGAAAGCTTTCATTTTTTCCCAGTTAACGTGATTTGGGCTGTTGGTTTGTTATACATGACTTTACGACATTCAGGTAAAGTCCTTCTATACTAACTTTTTCAGGATTTTTATTAAGAAGCAGTATTGGATTTTGTCAAAAGAATTTTCTGCATCTATTTTATTTTCTTTTTTTGCCATAATTTTATTGATAAACAAATAGCAATGAGACAGTTTCAAATCAAATCGGTAGGACAGTTTCAATAATTAACACACTGCATATATTCTTCTTA